CCTTGCGTAGTTACAATATCTAAAACAGGCTCTGGTGTCTTTTTAGCTTTAGAAAAGAGCATTACCTTGGTTTTATCCACATTTAAAAGAAGCTTTATTTCAGAGAGCTGAGTCTGAACAGTGTTAAAAACAGCCTGTAATTTAACAACCGCCTCCTTAATGGAGGTACCTGCACAATACATCACGGTATCATCTGCATACAAATGTAAAGTAGCTTCATCCACATTATCACCTAAGCTGTTGATATATATGGAGAATAAAAGTGGACCTAAAACAGAACCTTGAGGAACACCATTAGCAATGTTTAACCACTCAGAAGACAGCCCATCAAAATGAACACATTGGGACCTTTCAGAGAGGTAGTTCACAAACCACCCCACTGCATGGCTGGATATGCCAATACTGAGTAGCCTCTGCTTTAAGATGTGATGATCGACGGTGTCAAACGCTTTGGACAGGTCAATAAACAGAGCTACACAACTCTGCTTATTATCTAAAATACTCGTAATGTCACTCACCACTTTCACTGTGGCAGTGATGATGCTGTGTTGCTTTCTGAAGCCTGACTGATGTTTAGACAGGATGTCATTTTTACATAAAAACTCCTTTACTTGTTCACTCACTAGGTTTTCCAGACCACATTGTTCAGAGTCACAGATTGGGGTGTTCACAGAAGCAGAGTTAGAAACAGAATCAAACAGAGAGCCACACACAGGACACAAAATGCTCATTAAAGCAATTTAACATGGTGGCCCAGTCCGATATAGAGCCAGATGCTGTGGTGAGGCACGGAGGTAGCTCATTACGGATCCCACCGGTGGATATCGATTTTATGGCTTTCCAAAATGTCCTTAGGATTATTTAGGTTTTCTTTGGTAACTGACAGATAGTACTTTGATTTAGCACTTTTGACATGTGAAGTGAAGCTATTTCTTAGCTGCCTAAAACGCAGCCATTCTACCTCTGAGCCTGATTTCCTAGCCTTTGCCCAGGCCTTGTTTCTCTCATGAAGGAGACTGGACAGTTCAGCAGAAAACCAAGGATTGTCTCGTCCCTTTACTCTAAATTTACGCAGGGGTGCATGTCTATCAATGATCTCCATAAAACCAAGATAAAAATAAGACCATGCAGTTTCTACATCAGCACACAGATCGATTTTTCCCCAATCAAACCCAAACAGATCATGAACAAAACCTTGCTCCACAAAATGTTTTTTGTCTCTCTTAATGATAATGCGAGGTTTAACCTTTTGGACCTTAGTGTCCCTGCTAATTGTGGCTACAACACAGTGATCACTCAAATCATTTGCAAATACTCCCACAGATGAGTATTTATAGGGAACATTAGTTAAAATGAGATCAATTAGGGAGGATTTATTCGGGGACTTAGTGTTAGGACGAGTAGGACTGTCAACAATCTGAATAACATTCAAAGAGATACAAAGGTTTTTAAAATCCTCTGACACTGCAGTTAACCAGTCCCAGTTAAAATCTCCAATCAAGTCTTGAGTGCCTGGAATCATTTAGCATCAATTGCATTGGTCCAGTCGAAAGTTAGAACCTCTTCTTCCTTCAGTCTCTTTTTCAAATCTCTATCTATCTCTTTATCTGTAGACTCCTGAACCTACGATGTAGTTGCCCTAACAATGTTCTGGTCAATGCTTTGGTTTTCTCTACATTTTAGAGGTAGAAACCAATCATTAAAATACCTTATTTTTAAGTCATCCCCAGTTACTACTCATTCTCAGGGTCAGAACAAGGATTGTCTATAGTTTTAGTTTCATAAAGTTTTACTTCAGATTTGTCAAGCTGAACTGAGCATACACTAATTATCAGTGGGACTGACTTAAGGTATGCACTGATGTATTAGATTCTCATCAATGTGAAAGCTACACAAATAAAGATTTTGCTTTAGATGCTTTAGAAGGACAAGCTGAACTGAAAAAACATTCAGAAGCATCACATTAGCGTCACTGTGCTATGAATAAAATTAAGTCCAGTAATTGCCAATAAATCAATGTACTAAATAGAACACGAGTGAAATTGGCAAAATTATTGGTCATTTCCACTCTTGCGCAAATGAGCATATTACAAGTCAGACACATATTGCAGAGTTACATCACATACAAACACTGCAAATAAAAATGCTGCAAGAAGCTCAAAACACAACAGGAATCAGGGGAAACTAAAAATGGATGCACACAGATTGTTGAAGTTCAGGGATGATAAAGTTGTCCAGCTCTCACTGTTAGTAGAGTTAGTCTGTTTCATAAGTATTTAAAATTACTGTTAGCTAGGTTAGCTAGGTCAGCTAGTTAGCTTACAGCAGACCTTCAATAATATCGGAAGGAATCATGTGATCACGTTGTTAAAATAAGCCAATTAACTTTTGAACAAAAGAGACAGTTGAGACTTACTCAAAGCTGATTAATAGTTCATGATGTTTTTCTTTTGATAGGCCTTGAAGATGAAGGTTTTGAGATGCTTGAAGAGCTGGCTTATTTATACCTGGCAAATAACAAGGTGAGTCCCAGTAAACTCGTGTTTATTCTCAATACTGAAACTTAAAATGTGCTTAAATGATGCAAAGGCAACACAATCATTTGATTACATTTTATTCCGATACACTGACATAGTGCCAGCTGGCAGAGAGAGGTGGCAGTCTCCTCTCATTCACTGTGTGCGAGCTTATGCTGATAATCACTTCCAGTATGGCTGTGCCAGCTGGTGAGAGCTAAAATGTTACTGACCCTTTTGGCCACAGCGAGAGACAGAGAAAGGATGGACAGATTGTTTTTTTGCCTTCACAGAGATGAATAGGCAAACAGGAAGAATAGGGGATTTTAAAATGTTCACTAAGCCTCAAAGACACCCATGCTGCTTTAATCCATGAACCATGTTATAAAGGAGAGAGCTCTAAATGAACATTTAATCTCACCAGTGCTTCTCGGATTTGCTATTTTTTACAATGGTGCACTTGTTCTGTGGAGAAAGAAGTGAAGAAAACCTTGCTTTTAATAAGGGGTGCACAGCTTATTGTACAGTAGTCCACTTCTTTAGAGAAGACAGACGGCATCAAAGCAAATACTCGTAGGAAATAATCAAATTCTTCTACACAAACAACAATATAGATGTGTTGTCTTTCAAAACCACTATAATCTCTAAAGTAAAAATACATCTGAGTGTTTATTTGAGATGGTTAAGGTCATAGAAAACTATCAGCTCTATTTACCTGTACACTACAGTGGTTCAGTTTGTAGGGGATTGGACTTTGGACCGAAGGGCTGCCGCTTCACGTCCCGATCGGACAAAAAAATACGGAGTGTTGACTGGTAGCCAGTTCACCTCCTGGGCCACTGCCGAAGTGCCCTTGAGCAAGGCACCTAACCCCGGCTAGACTGGCTGCCTCCGCTCTGATCTCTCAACTGCATGTGCATGTGTGCATATAACTGTGTTTATTTGTATATGTACAGTATGTGCATGTTGTAAAAAGTGTGTACTGTATTACCTGTATAAAAACGCATGTGTGTGTACCACAGAGTGGAAACTGAATTTCCCCCTTGGGGGATTAATAAAGGGTTAGGGTTAGGGTCCATCTTCTTCTTCTTCTTACATATAAATGCTAATATTGTACAAATATTGTTAGCATGCTTAAATCATCATAATGGGAGTGTTAACATGCACATGTTTATAAGGTGTTATCTTCACCATGGTAACCATTTGGTCTTCTGTTATATCACGCTAACATATTCCTATGAGCAGTAAACACAAAGTCAGCTGGGGATAAATTGGCAGAAATTGGTCAAACAATTTTACAGATTCAAAGTTTGACAAGGGGATCAGTAGAGTCATCATTATACTGTACATGCTCAGGGGACTCTAACTGACTCTACAAACACTGAACCGCTAGTGGCACTATATAAAAGGGGATCCCAAAAGACATTAGGATCCTGGGACCATGAATTGGGACAATCCGACCGGTATTCATGACCGTATCTCAGTAAATATGTATTGTCCTGCTTATTTTATTGTGATTACAGCTCACCTCAGCACCAATAGTCCTACCACCCTCTTTGGTTAGTGCTGATTTTGCTGCTAATCAGCTTACTAAGATCTACCTGTATACATTTGGCCAAAAACCCAAACTGAGGTACGTATGTGTGTGTTTGAGTCAATTTACTCCTAGTTACTGGAATCATGTCCATTTACTGTACGCATGACAATGTCCCTTGATCATGGATCCCAGGTCTGTGTATCTCCATAACAACAAGCTGACGGACGCAGGGTTTCCTGAACATGCGTTCAATGGTTCTGACAACCTGGAGATCCTCATCATGTCCAGCAACCTCCTGCGGGTCGTCCCGAGGAACCTGCCCTCCAGCCTCTTCCGTCTTCATCTGAAGGTGCAGCACCTGTTCAGTGGGCATTTAGGCGTAAGGTGGATGAAATACATCACCTTAATGACTACAGTAAATTATAGCATAAGGATTGTTCTTGTCGTTGCAGAGTAATAAGTTGGAAGAAATTCCTGCAGGGGCTTTTGACACCTTGTCAAACCTCAGAGAGCTGTATCTCCAGAGCAACCTCCTCAACAATGAGGGCATGGACAACGAGACTTTCAGGTGGACAAACCCTAGGAGTTAAAATGTTTTAACATCTTTATGCTCAGTGATGGATAGTAACAAAGTACATGTACTCAAGTACTGTACTTATAGTTACAATTTTGAGGTACTTGTTATATACCTGAGTATTCTCAGTTTATGCTACTTTATACCCTCAAAAACCGAAACGTTGACTTTAAATAAATGTATTATGTCAACAGATTTCACACTGTATTAGGTTAGTTGAAAGCATTAGGTCCAACTTAATAGTATTGCTTTCAACTAAAATAATCCAGTTATATGACATTTGTTGAAAAAATAAATAAATGTGAGTCTACTGCTACTCCACAACATATTAAAAGCCAATATTGTACATTTTACTCCACAACATTTACGGTATTTGACCGATGTTGTTGATAAGTACTTTTTAGATTTAGATGATTAGCTTATGCAAAATCTAAATCCATTATTAAATAAACCTTGACATACATGTATAGGTTAAGACATCCAGCAGCACGATACAAATGTTATTCAAATTAGCTTTACATTTACCAGTTGTGATAAGAATACATGAATAATCATAATAGTAACCCATTATCTCAATGTATGGTTCTCAAATGAGTTCTATTGCTTTTGTTTCTTATATATATATATATATATACTTATTTATTTATATATATAATTTGATGGCGATACTTTTGTATTTTCAATTCAGGCTTTTTACTTGTAACAAAGTACTTTTAAAATGTAGTATTTCTAATTTTATTTAAGTAACACATCTGATTACTTCTTCCACCACCGTTGTTGCTATTGTATAGTGGAAAAGAAGGACAGCATATATATATATATGTTTTTCATGTGCATAAATAATTGTTTTGCAGACAGAAAGCACAAGTAATTGATTACTATCTCTTCTTTTCTGGCAGTGAATTGAGCAGCTTGGAGTGTTTGGACTTGTCAAATAACAACTTAAGTGTGGTCCCCACGGGGCTGCCGCGCAATCTAGTACTGCTTCATCTAGAGAAGAACTCCATTCGTAGCATCCCTGGAGACGCTCTTGCTCCTGTCCGAAACCTTGAGTACCTGCTCCTTCACAATAACAAGCTGCGCTCACGTTCCATCCACCCGTCTGCCTTCCGGGTACATATCTATTTTATAAAGATATATCACATTATAATTTAATTTGGCAGAACAGCCTGGAGGTTAAAATGCTCAAATGCTTTGTGAAACAAATTTGCATTTTGCCTAGGGTTTGAAGAAGCTACACACTCTTCACTTGTACAACAACTTGCTGGAGAGGGTTCCCAGGGGCTTGCCTAAGAGGGCCAAGACCCTCATGCTGCTTCACAACCTCATTACTGACATTAGCCGTAACGACCTGGCCATGCTGTACACCCTGACAGAACTCAACCTCAGCTACAACAAGCTGACGAGTCCCAAGCTTCACCGCGAGGCCTTCAGGAAGCTGCGTCTTCTGGAAACCCTGGATCTGTCGGGAAACAGCCTGTCATCGTTCCCCCTGGGTCTTCCTCGCAGCCTGCAGGTGCTCGAAATCAAGAACAACCAGCTTAACTCCATACCAGATGGTACACTGACGGGCATGGAGAAGCTACGGAAGCTCATCCTGAGTGACAACCAGCTGAAACTGAATTCAGCCTACCAGGGAGCCTGGATGGAGCTGACTGCGCTCACGGTAAATGGATAGGAGAAAGAAACATGTCGGATATAGGAGAAAGAAACATGTCGGATATAAGAGCAAGACATTTGTTGTGCTTGTCCACTACAGGAACTTAACAATCCCCAACCTGGACTTTTGAGATTCTTGTGAAGCTTTAGTACACTGAAAAAACTGAAACGTTGACTTTTATCAAATGTAGTATTTCAACAGATTTGACATTACTGTTTTAGATTAGTTGAAGGCATAATATTAAGTTAAAATAAAAAAGGTTTTGGTTCAACTTAATGTATTTGCTTTTAACTAACCTAATAAAGTTATGCGAAATCGGCTGACATTATACATTTAATTAAAGTGAATGTTTCAGTTTTTTCAGTGAATAACAGGATGTAACTGTAAAAAGTGGAAGCAGAGAACAGCAATGAAATGAGTGTTATATACTAATACCCAAATCCGATCTGAGACCAATGACTTGATCTGTACACAGATCAGGGAACATAAAGCATTATGTTTAGTATTCACTGTGCATCTTGTAATTTTTAGACCCTAGACCTGTCTGGCAACCAGCTGTCACACATCCCGTCCGACCTGCCCGAGTCCCTGGAGTACCTTTACCTGCAGAGTAACCGTATCTCAAGTGTTCCTGCTTCAGCATTTGAAGGCACTCCAAACATCAAAGGCATCTTTCTCCGGTAAGAGACCCACAAACCATTTCTTATACGATGAGTACCTCTAGAACTCAGTGTTGGGTAGTTGTCAGTCCTTTTTTTCTCAACGGGTGTTACGCAATGGTTAACTCTGTATTTTTCTTCATGATTGTCTGCATAAGCTGTGTTACTTCACATTAGCTGCATGAAACACAAGTGAGGGAACAGGACATTATTTGCTGCTGTAAGGGCTTTGTGGAAATCTGGTAGGTTGTCCCTTTCATAACTTTCTTTTCCTTTTAGATTGATCTCCACTCAGGGAATGATTGTACAAGTACGACTGAAATATGGCTGTGTGGAAATTGTTGCTTTTGTTATACTGCTCTGCAGGTCTCCAAGGGACAGCAGCTGCTGGGTACGCCAGTGTTCTTTCCTCCATTTCAAAACACATTCTTACAAACAGAGTTTATGGACAATGAGAAGGTATTGAGAAAGTGTGGATGGAAAGACGACTTTCACAGTGCAGAAAGCTCAAAGTCTCTGAATGGATTTTGTTCAATATTATGAAAGTAGTGTAATAGTATTGCGTCATTTGAAGGAATAGATTGCCTTGTTGGGAAACACAAGAAATGTAGCTTAAGCAAGCTGGTTAGCTTTGCACAAAGACCGGGAACAGCTGTCCTGGCTCTGTTCAAACGATACTAAATGTTCTTTCCGGAACATTGTTTTTCAACAAATTTCTTTTCTCAGTTTGATCCATACACAATCTGACACAAAACATTTTCTCGGTTATTTTATATGACTGAATATTTGTTGTTCAAACATTTCCTTTTTCTTTTGTAGACCTCCACGGCCTTTCATTAGAATTTCAATCTGTTTATTTTCCAAAACAAATAAAAGATTTCTTTCAAAACATAAATGACTATGGAGTGGTGTAGAGTGCTAAAACCCAGAAATGACTTCACATATTACCAATTCTGGTTCCCTTTTGGACATGTTTGTGGTTAGAAGCCTGAAATAAGGTCTGTGGTTAAAACAAGGCGAAGAGATGTTCACTTTTGGTTCCACTATATAAAGTGCATCAGTAAATACCCTACTTGAGAATGTATGAAGCGTTAACGTGTCTCAAAAACGGCAGTTGCTAAAAAGTGGCTAAATGAGATACTTAACATCATCACGTCAACACCACACTGTCTTTAGCTTAGCTTTGGCTGTGTGCAGTCATTCAACCGTGATGTTTGTTTATTGCCTAACATTACCTTTTTACTTCTGACAACTGCATTTACGCCTAAAAATCACAAAGTTGTGTTTATATGTGGAAATTATCCTGGAAAGTATCATAAATACAGTATGTGTTTGCCAAACATATTTGTTATGCAATATACCAAAAATCCAATGGGTAAATCCCATTTATTTTTGTTGAGGGAGCCCTTGCGCTGCTAACTTCCGAGTCAGACTACACAAATATGTCATCACTGCAACACTTTATGCAGTTTCATCATAAGGGAAAGGTAATTGAAAGGAGACCAGGCTTCCTAAGCTGTTGATAGCTTCATAATTATCAATAGTGAAAGCTCTACTAAACCCTACTTTTAACTCCTAACACCACAGTTCAAAATATAATTTTCTATGTTACAATCCCTGTTGCCTTCTTTATTACTAATCAAATACATTTTCTGTGTTGGACAGTCTGAATGAGCTTCATTTTACAGAGTACTGCGTTGTGGTATCTAATCCCTCCATCTCTTGTGTGCATTCAGCAAATGTTCCACTTTGGTTTATTCCACATAGTGCAGGCTTACACCCACAGGCACTGCAGCTGAAAGCAGCGGTCAGACAGCACAGTGAAGAGGTTTCAGATGTGCGCTTTAAAGCTTTTGTTCTGTTTGGTTGTCAGCCTGACCTCGACCTAGTTGCTTTATGGCTGTGTTTACGGGACTTGACCCCTTCCAGGCTGCTGTGCTCTTTGTGTTATTCTTTTCTTCTTTTTCCCACCAAACTCCCCCCACAGCTGGCAGCCTTTGGCCTGAGCCAATTTAGTGTGGCTGGAATGCTTTCCGTGAGTAAGTGGAAGTGAAAGGAGGATTTACGTGTGTTTATTCATTACTAACTGCATGTGTATTACCCATTGGCTATAGATCATGGGCAACATATGCAAGCATTTAGATCAGGTAATTCCAGTGTTTCATAAGTGCTTTGATGTTCAGTGAGTAAAAAACCTACTAAATGTATATTATTTGATTGAATTAAAACATTATTGTGTGGGAAATTCATTGTGGCATATATTTTCGATAGATATGTACCACTACACTGATCCCTGAGTGGATCAAAGCTGACAGATGTGATTTGTATATGTCACCTGCTGTCTGCTTACCATTCTGCACGACAGGATTTGAGCTTTTAGCCTCTGAAATGTCACCAAAAGTCAACTGTCAATTGAGTAATAAAGCATCACAAACATTTCCCTTTTCCTCCTTTAAGGTTTAACCGCCTGGCTGTGGATTCTGTGGACGAAAGCGGTTTCGCACACCTGTCCAACTTGCAAGTGCTGGACATTGGCACAGGAAACACCGACCTCCCCTTTAAAAGAGAGGAGATAGAGGAGGAACTGGAAGCATAAGACACGGTTAGCTGACATTGGACCGCTTAGTGTCAAGGACAGAAACTGATTATAAATAGGAATTAACCCTTGAATGTAATTCCAGTGCTATTATTGTTTGGAAGTTACATATCTCTGGTGCAGGATACCGGATAAAGTTATTTTAGTTTCCTTTTTTTAGGCTGATTATTATAGCATATCTTTATATCTGAACTTTAAATATTTGTTTTGGACTGTTGACACGCAACATATATTGTCTGATTGTGTTTTTGTGCATTAAAAACAAATACATTACATACAGTAGGTAAATGTCAATATTCCCATGTGAATGTTTCAGAATCAACACCACAATAAAGTAGTAATTAGTGTTTTTACACCAAGGGTAAAAGATTAGCAGTTTCATTTTCAAACCAAGAAAGCCCTTAGTAATCAAAAATCCTTTGACACTCAGTACAAATGATATTGCTGCAATTCAATTTCATTATGATTTAATCTAAAGTGGTTATTTTTCAAAAATATTAAAAAATGTTATCTTTAAAATGTAAAAAATGACAAATTCCCATTACAAGCATGATGTGAGTTTTCAAATTGCTTAATGTGGACGTATAGACAATGAAAAAGTACATTCCGTTATAAAATAAATTGACACAAGAGCAAAACCTCCCACTTCAGAAGCTTATGTGGATAGCTCAGATTTTCAATTGTGGTTGAATGACACATTTGTATAGATGACAGTCAGCACTCACCCAGCAATTTTCACTGCTTTACCAGGCCATCAGAAATCTCTTTCTGATGGGGAAATGATACCGTGATCTCAGCTCTCTCCAAAGCCACCAGACTCCATTCAAAAGACACTAATTTTACCTTGCAGAGCACTGGAATTGCTGGCTTGCTGCTTGTCAATGAGAAACAACACCCAAGGGATTCATGAGACACAATGCGTAAGGTCATGAACTGTATCGGTAAATGTACAGGACATGATGCACATATTGCTTAATGAGTTCAGTATTTCTTTGTTGGATGATATTGTCTTTTTTATTAAAAGAATGTAACGTGTTGATTTCCATTGGACCACAATTTGGTGGGACGCTCTCCAAAGACAGACAGAGTAGCCACCCAGAGCATGTTAGCTTGCGCCAGTGGACAATAAGTGTGACATTTCGAACAGAACCCTTGGACTTGTGTTGTTAAATTGCACTTGATGTTACCACCAGTTAACACAGCTGCTGTCAAACCAACCAGGAAGGAATTCTCAAGGACTGTTAATTCAGAGACTAAAGCTTAGCTGGGTGTTCTCACTCCCAACTCGTCAAACACGGCAGGTGGTCAGCAGTGGTGGAAGAAGAAGAGTATGTTTTTACCTTATGTAAAATAAGCAATACTACATTTTAAAGGTATTTTGTTACGAATAAAAGTACTGCATTCAAAATCTTACTTCAGTAAAAGTACAAAAGTACTCATCATGCGTAATAGCCTATTTCACAATCTCATTTATATTGAGTTACTATTAAGATTATATATAATAATAATCTAAACCTAAAAAGTATCTAGTAATAAAAAGCTGCCAGATAAATGTAGTGGAGTAAAAAGTGCAGTATTGGCTTCTAAAAAGTATTGTCAGTATACAAAGTAGCATAGACTGAAAATACTCAAAAAAAACTACAAATAACTCAAAATTGTACTTTAGTACAGTACTTGTACATGTAAAAGTACATTGTTACTATCCACCACTGGTGGTCATTGGCCTAGGCATCAAACTATGATGCTCCATCCACCTCTTGAACCACAGTTTTGCATGTCAGCTCTCATCTAGTGGTCGCAATTATTCTGACGAGAGTTAAGTGTGGCGTAATAAGAATGTTAGTTGTGCAGTTAGTTGAATGGTCTTTTACCCAGGAGACCACTTTGTGTTACGTGTAAAGCCAAAAGTCAATGTTGACTTATTTTTACTTACTGAATCCACCCATATAGTTTCATTCTCTAAACCTAACCAAGTACTAATGTTAACTTACGGTACAGATGCAATATACTTAACCTAATCATATGTTTTAGATAAATCGATACCGATAAAGGAGAGCATTACAAAATTACACCATTGGGTCTTGAACAAGGTTGACAAGTTGGAAATGAGAACATGTTGGCTTAGCAGGTTTCCATGATAAATTAATCAAATTATTTATATTTTCAAAACTATCTTATGTTATTTGTCTTTCTTATCACTAAATAATTGAGTTGAGAGTACTGTTTCAGCATGTTGGGGAAAAGGGACAGATCAAGAGCCAGTGAGGTATCAGAATGACAGCCTTGAATCTTAAATGTAATTTACCTATAATGAAGACAACTATGGATATAATCATGATTTGAAATTGTTCTTTTACAATGTGCTTGAGAATTAAATATTCAAAACACATCTAAAGCTTCAACCCATTCCGCTGCTACTTAAGTTAATTTCTATTTCTTGATAGTAAATGATAGTAAATATTTGTACATGACATTGAAAATACTCATTCTATTACACTTACTATATTACTATGAATACAGTGTCACTTTCACATACAGCAGTATAGTATTTCCACAAATACAGTAATTGAACACAGCAATACATGATTTTAAAAAGGCTGAAGAAGACTGTGCGTTTCCTAACATTCACCAGAGAATATAATTCATATTTTAGCCGGTTCTCTCACACAGGTCAGTGTCACTGTTCATTTCTCATTTGACTCCAAATATGAGGCTAGTGCTTAAACATTATTTATAACAGGAGGAAAAACACATCTCAGTTAACAATCTGTTCTCTTCCCATGAGAAAAATGTTCGCAACCTTTTTCACTCTGAAGTCTCTGACAATTAGGCCTACTGTTCACATAGCTGACAAAATTGTGGATAAAATGACAAAATACATAAAACCTTGCATGTGATTAGAGTAAAATGCTATATAGCTTAACCCTCGAGTTAAACTTTGAATCACTTTAGTGCAGAATATTGAGAATTTATATTAACCAACACAGTAGAAAAGCGCAAAAGTTAATGTTGTTACAGAATATTCAGTGCTGTGCCTCAATTTGGACAATTCCCTTAGTAAACTGTATGTTGTACACAGTGAATACCTACGCAGATTATACATTTTGTCCATGTATTGTTGGGTCAAATTGAACACTTTCACCAGAAGTGACCGCTGCTGCTAGCTAGCTAGCAACGTTGTAGTCCACAGTAGCAAATCGTTACCAACTGCCCATTTTAACCACTATAAATAAAGGTGGCATCTGAAGCAAAGAACGAGAACTTGGTCCAGCTTTTTGGAGAAACAGAGATATAAGCTTTATCTCACCCCTCATGTCCAGGGCAAGGTAATATGCTATCACTGGCTTAAGATATAGACAAGCTAACCGTGTTAGCTAGTAGTCAGAAAGAATATCTTTTGTGTAGCTTAATGTGCTTTATGGAAACATAGCTTTGACAGGATATACCTGACAACAGGGAGTTTCGTGTATAGATCGGCAGGGGGGGGGGGGGGGGGGTGCGACAATTTGCTTAGATCCAAATTTGGCCAGTGGCAGCACTGCCTACAGGATTTGAACCGAGAGCTTTACGATGTCTTCATAATGAGCCCGTGTGTTCAACATTTCTTAAGCAGTGTTTAGATAAATTTGCATTGCACATTTTAACTTCAATTTCCTATGTTTAAAGATATATTTATTTTATTCTAAAATGGTGCAACTGTCACACAACTTAATTTCTTCCTGAGATAATAACATTAATTCTCATTAACCGGTCAAACTGCAATCGAGGCTGGTTGCACCTCTTCCGTTACGTGGCCAAGATGGCTGTTGTTGATGAGTGTGAGAAGTGTAAACCATTCCAGACTTTTTGACCATTATGAGTGCACCATCCGGGTACATACAGTATTTTGACTGCATATTTGCCTTACTTTTGTAAGGGGGCGCACGTATGCACTCAAAATAGCACATGTATGTACAGAAGTATGCACATTGAGGTACAGCACAGGTCATGTTTGATATACTATACATAGTAGCCAAAAATCTAGTCAACCAACAAACGGCCCCGTTGGATTATGTTGAATTATCAGTGGTTGTCTTAGGCTGTTCAAGTGACTGGAAAGTTGATTAAAATCAGGTGCTCCTGAGGCTGTTTAAATAAATCTCAATTTTGCTCTAGTATTACTTTTCTCACATGACCACAGTCCTCTCTTTCCAGTCATCCCGTCAACCTAGCATCACCAGCTTTGTTAAGGCAAAACTAAACAATCAGGGCATCTGATCATTTAGCTCACACCAGACAGTTGCACTCATGCCTTGTGTCTTATGCAACCCTGTCTCCTTCAAATTACTTTCTGATACAGGTCAACTGCATTCTCAATCACTTTCAAGGGAAAATTCTGGATTACTGTCAAAGATTAAAGTATACGTTAAAATAATTCAGAGAAAAATAATAAAGCAACAAAAACACTTGGTTATGTTTAGGCAACAGAAAATACTCAGTGGCAATACTTACTACTTGTAAGCCTTCCGCCAATCAGTCATCCGGCTATAATTGTACCCTTTTAGGCATGTGTGGGACACTGTCATGATCAGCGTATGAATAGCCAGAATGTTTTGTAATGTCACAGTTACCTTTGAACACACAATTGTCATCAGTTCATTCTTGAGTCCAGAGGCCTGTACTACGAAGCAAGATTTTCGCTTAGCCGGCTAACTTCAGGGAAAACTCGGGGTTTCCGGTCCTACGCCGCTGGTTCTCTTTTTAGCGGGCTAGATCTCCATGGTAACTTATGCTGAGCGGCTAACCTGCTCTTGCAGGCTAAGAGCTCAACTCAGTGAAAGCAATGCCTGCTGACCAATCAGAGCTCAGTGTGCGGAGCTTAAAGCGATCAAGTCATATTACAGGATAGAGGAAATACAGAAAAACTGCCGTTGCAGGAAAGACGGCCGGCAAAAAACACCGACTGAACATTAATAGAATATCACCTCCCATCTTCAGAGAAATCTGACTATTATAACATTAGCGTTAAGAAAGCTTACTTAAATATCTGCCACAACATAAGTAACCGGATCATAGTAACATTAAGTACAGTCCGCGGCATATCACATCATAATGTATCATACATTTCCTTATCTGAGTCAGCTGAGCCGTATCTGGCCGTGCAACACTCTGTCACATACTGTATGCAGAAGTATTATTTTAAGCAACACATTAAGTTGACGAAACACTCGAGACAAATGTAATTAAAGTCAGATGGTGTCTTAGACGGGGCAGGGATATCATAAACCTGTTAATGTACGCATTCAAACACTTTTTCTTTTACCAGCTGTATTCACCTTGCAGGTGCAGCTATGTGGCTTTTATCCTGGATACAGTGTTTAAGTCATGGATGTTTAAAAGTTTACTTCTTCTATATGTACTAATATTATAGTTGACGTTTCATTCGAGAAGTATGACGCTACGCTGTCAGTACGCTTA